AATTGTCAACATCAATTCTATTTGGCCAACAGCTAAACATCCAACAAGAGGCTAACTTGGATACAACTGCTTTTAGACCAGCTTTTCATCCCAGAAGCACAATTGCTCATCTAAGATCAACCAGGGAACATGGCATCAATTAAAACCAGCTTATGGAGATTTTTTTTTTCCAAGTGAGATGGGAGGAAGGAGGGGGATAATTTGCAAAACATGGCTTAGATGTCTATTCATTTCAGTTTTCTTGCAATACGGTTCTTAAACCTGCTTGTAAAATGCAGGATTTTTTTTACTACCGTCCCTTACTGTCTAGCCTGAGGTCTACAATAGTTCCATATTTAATTAAAGATACAGCATATAGATTTCTTTTTAAGCACAGCTCATTAAAGAAAAAATGTATAATTGCTGTCATTTGCAATAAAATAAAATATTGAATAACTTTAGTTTGGAATTAGGATTGGGGAGATGGAAAGAAAGAAAAGCATTTTCTAAAGAGGGGAAAAAAAAACTATTATAATTTACATCTCATTGGCTATGCTGGAGATGATGGAAGTCACACTCCAGTAAACCTTGAGGACATCAAGTTGGGGATATTCATGTTAAATAAAACAGCAACCTGGTTTGAAAATTGTACTGTCAAGCTTTGGAAATACCCAACAAAGAAAAATATTGGTGGACTATATGTCCACTATGTTTTAATCAAGATTTCCTTTATGAAGTAAGAAATTGAATATATAGTTTCTACAAACCTTTTCCAAGATCAACTGAAATAAAAAGTATAACATTATGATCTACACAGACTTGCAAGTCGCAATGTTCTGCCGCTTCCACCAGCTGCAGTTTTTTGTTGACAGAAATATATTACTAAGTGAAACATTAAAATATCAATGGTATTGTGCCGTAAGATTACCTTGCTTCTATGAATATCTGTTTTAAACTGAACTCTTAACTCATCCCACTATTGACTAATGTAGTTCTAGCAAAACAGCATTTAAGTCATCTTATGTCATTCCTAAAGTCCCAGTATGCTGCTAAGGAAGATTTATTTGAACAAATACAAGCCTTGTTCAGGCCATCTAAACAGAAGTAGTAGCAACACAGTCTCACCGCAACTTCAGATATAAGATCCCAGAAACTAACCAGACACATTTTTTTCTACTTCATATTAATGTAGCATCCAATAATCAAGAATAGTTTGAGTTCCTCTTTGTGGCTATCTTTACTGGGAGCCTCATCTAAACTAGCCCATGGCTTTGTAACCATAATAGCTACAAAGCAAATGATCCCATGCTCAAAACTTAGCAGAAAACAACTGAACTGATAAAGAACTGATCAAGATTTAAAACAGGCTTTCATAGCATCTGCCCACAAATTTAATCAAAGTCAAAAAATGTTATTACTTCAAAGGCCTAATCAACCCATAACATTATCGGGCTCAAAATTAATCAAGGAGAAAGAGCGAATGGCCTTCAATTTATGTATTATATACTGTTGTGAGAGCACATTCATAGCCCATAGGTACTACATTTTTTCTTTCAACTAAGTTTAGAAGAAAATAATTTAACAACCATTTGGCCTCATTATTACATGAGATGTTAATCCAACAATCATTGGAATACATGATTTCCATTTCCAGTGACACACAAAATGAAAATGCCAATTGCCCAATTGAGTTTAAAGTTTTGTGATAATATTTCCTATTTTGTGTGCAATATTTCCTCTAGAATATTGCAAAGGAACAACTTTCTCTTCTTCAGTCTTCAGCAGGGAGGACCATTCAAACAGTCTAATATCAATAACAAGTAATCTCATAAATTGGACAACTCATAGAAAGGGCTGGGATACCGTGGCTTTATTGTTTTAGAAATATAACACTATAATCTTGGATGTGTTTAATCAGAAATAAGTCAACTGAAACTTGATTCCAGGAAATATATAAACATAGTAGACTCCCTTTTATGATGTATTTCAAATATAGGATACTTTCAGTTTGTTCTGCTGAGTCAATCTGAAAATTATGGGTTTAGAATTCCAATATAGCAGATATCTTAAGGAAAAAATGCAAGACATTGCAGCCTACATGACCTATTACTGCAGGTCTCCAAAGGTGACTGTTAAATAATCCACATGAATATCCTAGGACAGAAGGACCTTGTAAACATATATTATATCCCATCATAAAGTAGCCTGCACTTTTACAATCAGTGTGAATAATTTAAAGGACACAGGAAGCTTTAAAAAACCCATACTTTCTGTTTCACATTTTGCAATGTGAAAATTCTTTTTTGTGAAAAGATATGGGTTTCCTACTCTAAGGGCAACTAATGTCTAAACAGCAAGAAACAAATGCAATTTTTAGTCAAAGATACTTTCAGAGAACTGTTTGCGTTTAATGATATACTACAAACTGCCTTACAATTTTTTAAAAACCTTCCCTCACCATGAAAAGATTTTTGTTTATTTGTTTTCTACCAATGTTTTAAGGTATTTGAGAACTTTTTTCGCTGGTGTGTTTGAGCCTATCTGACTATGGAACTTAGTAGATGGGACTGCGGCAGCTTCCCTGTTGGACATCACTTGAAGTCTCCCTGGCTGTTCATGTATCTTCTCCACCCCACCACCCAGGAGTTAAACTGAAGTGCAAGAACTGACAGGGTAGCTACAGGGCATCAGTGAGAGGCTTGTACTGCACAAACAGGCTATTCATACATGCCCTCAGACCACTTTATAATTCAATCAGTGCAAAAACATCACCATCATGAAAATGTCACCAACATTATTTTCTCTTTTAGAATGAAATGTTGATACTAAATTCTCTTTCAGAAAATAGCAAGGGGAGGTGGAATTTTGCTTCTGCAGTGGTCTAATGTCACTGCTGTTTTTACCATCCAGTTGCACATGGTCATCTGTTCATGTTCAAAATTGTTTCTAGACAACTACATGAATGAAGGTGAAAAGAGCCATTACAGAGAAGTTGCCTGACAGTTTTATTGTCTACTTAATACTGTGACATAAAGAACTTATTTGAATTATTAGTAGATATTCCCTTTATCCCAACTGTAAAACAAGCCTAAAAGTGTAAGGAAGTGGGTCAAACCCTAGGATGTAGCGTAAGCAAGTAGGAAATGATAAAGTAGTAAACTGCTGGCTAGCCAGTCCTGATGGAAAAGTGACATAGATAGCAAAGCACTGAGTTCTATAATAATAATAATAATAATAATAATAATAATAATAATAATAATAATAATAGTAGTAGTAGTAGTAGTAGTAGTAGTAGTAGTAATGGTGGTGGTGGTGATGATGATGATGATAATAATAATAATAATAATAATAATAATAATAATAATAATAATAATAATAATAAACAGCAGCAGCAGCAGAAAAACAGAACAGTGAATACACTTTCAGCCTGGCTTTAGCAAATAAAGATATTAGTCACTAGTTTATAGACAGAACCAATAATAAATTTTATATCCAACTAACTGGCTAGCTTGACTGGAGTCTTCAAAGTTTAATAGGAAATTATAAATACAATGGAGAAGCAAAGTGCAAAAATCAACACATGCCACATTCTGTTGCAACATCTGCAGAAGGCAACAGTTACTAGTTCTATCATTCATAGAGGATTTGCTTTCTCTGTTTGTTCAGCATTTTGACTCTCAAGTCAAATACCAATTTGACCATCTTCTGCTTGCACAACCCAGAGGAAAACTATCAATAGGACCTCAGGAAAAAAAAACATGGGAAAGGTCTGCTTTTAATAGCACAGTTAAGACAAAATGATGCTCAATATTGCGAATGCTCTCTTAAAATATCACAGATTAGCTCTTCATGGTATTTTCATATCTGAAGCCTTCTATTTCTTACAGGTGTACCCAAATGCAGAATATTTTACAATTTAATTCAGGATTCTAGCCAACCTTGTCCTTTGCCAGATCTCCCAACAGAAAATGGGAATATGCAATTAAGTACAGGATGGGCAAAATCATTATCAGCAATGAGCTTCCACTGCCTCTGTGAGGGGCTTGCACTTTCTTCATGGTCATGCAAATGCCATGCAAATTTACTTGGAATCCTTGTCACCCCATAATTCCATAAGTCCCACCAGCCTCAGATATTATTCTACATTTCAGTTTGCAACACATATCAAAAGGATCAAGAAGCATCAAAGGGAAGTGGGATATGGGGAAATAATTATTTGACATGTCCATAATTACAACAGATCATACGGCAGAGATAAATCATTCCATTTCAATGGCAAGCATACAGTAGCACTGATGATGTTACCTAGTTTGGGTAATAAAATGTCTGCAAGAAAACAACCAAGATCAAAGAGCACCAAGTATCCCTCATTTCAACCTGAAGCATACATCTTTGGCATACATCTTTACCTGCAATCCCAATTTTGGGGGGGTAGAGGCAAGGCTGTAAAGGCTCTATGGCACCTGCTTGGCTATTTACTTGGCACATATTTTCTATTAGTGTTTGCTTCATTTGCGCAAGAGCAAACTGTACTGTATATGATTCAGCCTGAGCCAGAGATTAGGACTGCAGGACTGCGGTATTGGAATCAGATGGACCAAATGCAATTAAGGACGTTTAGAGAATACATTTTCTCAACAAGGTGGTTGTTAACTTTTTCTGGGGTTTTGGGGTATCGTTTTGTGGCTGAGCCACAGAGAATCTTAAAACAGGAGTAAGTAGTAAGAGCAGAATAAGTTGCACAACCTCTATCTATGTGGGGTCTCCCCTTTTTGTGGTGGGAAGCTTTTAAAGGAAGGGACTGGGGAGAGGGTCTCTTTCTCCATGAAAGAGGAAAAAAGAACTTCTAGGAGCCTTGTCCACTTCCCACCCAGCCCACCCCAATTTTAAAACACACATCAAAGCTTAAAAAGAAGAGTCCACCTATTCCAGTTAAAAGGGGAGATAAGCAGGCCAAAGGAAGGAAGGATGAGCTGCCGGTTGGATGGAGAAAGGCAGAGATGGAGGAAGAGGTGGCTCACCTCTCTTGCCGCGTCTCAACCGGCCGCCTTGACAGTGGCTGTAATCCATACAGTTTAGGACGATCAAAGCAAAGGAGAAGAGGCGAAACTGCATCCTTCGACTCCGGGAACTGGAGACTCACCAGGCAGGGAAAAAGCGGAGATTCGGCCGCCGGTAGCGGCGCTGGGGAGTCACGGGCCGCCCTCCTTCCCTTCTCTCGGGACGGCGAGGTGACAGGCGAAAAGGGAGACGGCGCGGGGAGCCGCTCAGACTCGCACGCCGGCCGAGCCTCTTCGCCGAGTCCGGCCAACTCCGAGCATCTCCGGCCGATCTGGAAGCGCAAGAGAGGTTGAGAACACGACATTCATACAGACTCGTGGCTTTAAGACGGCAACTCCTGGCTGACTGCCCGGAGGATCAGCCCCAGGAGTCAACCGGGAGGACTTCCGAGGAGGCAAAGCGCGCCGTAGGAGGGAGCCCCTTCCAACTCGGCGGGGCTCCGGCTGCCCGGCCTCCTTAGAGGCTCGGAGTTCGACCGGGCGGCTAAGAAGCCCCGCGAGTTTTACACACACCCCGGGTAGGGCAACGAGCGTCGGCGGTGCCGTCTGGTTTCGGTCCGCAGATCCGCCCGGCCAGAGGCAAGGACCGCGCGCGACCCGACCCCGGGAAGCCGCCTCCGCTTCCAAGGCAGCGGTAATCCCGTGCACGTGGATTCGGCGCAAACCCCGCTGGTTTAAATTAAGGTTACTCTCCGCTAAAATACGTGGGAAGCTCCGAGGGGCTCGAATAACCGCCGCCGCCGCCGCGCCGCTCGCCCCGTCCGAGAAGCGCTGGAAATAGCGGACCTGCCAATGCTGCCGCAGCCCGAAGGAGACGCCTCCGGGCTGGAACCGAGGCACCCACGCCCGAGCAGCAGCGCGGCGCGGCGCGTCTCCCGCCCGGCCAGGTGGCGTCTTCCTCCCCGTCCACCGCTAGCCGGCGGAGCGACGGCCGCGGGGAGCAGCACCAGCCGCCGCAGGTAAGCGAGCGCTCCTCTGCCGCGAACCGACCCGGCTTCGGGAACCACGTGGGTCGGTTGGGCGAAGAGGGGCCGCCCGTCCCCACTGCCGAGGCACGCCGGGGTTTCGCGGTCGCCCTTGCGCCCCTCGCAGGACAGGAGCCAGGTCGGGGAGGCGAGAGGGCGGGGAGTCGAGGAGCGAAGTGCGGCTCCCGCAGACGAGGCGAGTTGCGGGCTCCTTCTTCGCGCCCCTTCTCTTATAAGCAGCTCGGCGAGGAGCGCCACTCACGCGCGGCTATTGCGGCGGCGGATAGTAGGTGGCGCTGTGCTCTACCGCCGCGGAGAGGCCGCCCGCTTCTCCGCCTTCCTAACGCCTCCGAGCCGGGTCGCTCCCGAAGGTGGGCGAAGGGCAGCCACGATCTGCCGGGAACTCAACCGCGGAGCGTCTCTCTCGCCCCTCTCGGAGGTTTGGGGGGAGGGGATATGGAGGCGGCGAGCCTGCACGGGGGGCCGCCTTTGAGCATCTCGAAGCGCAAAGCGTGGAGCAGCGAAGCGAGGACTAGACGAGAGGTCCAAACGCAGAGAGGCTCCGCATCAGTGGATGCCATATTTCCTCGAGCGCAGCTTTAAAACTGTGGAACGGGCTGCCGTCGGCTGTGCTCCTGGTAGCCGGCACGGATGGCTTTAAGAGGACTGGCTTGTTTCCTGGAGACTCAAGCTAACCATGGCCAGCCAGTCCTCATAGGAGTAACAGGAAGCGTTAACTTTTCACGACCCACGGTTCCTCTCTTCAGATGCATGGAGTAGCTGAACGGAAGCCTCTTAGGAAGGGAGAGCTGCAAGCCTTTTTATAAAATGTGGACTTCTTCGGATTTTGATCTGCCATGAATGGATCCTGCTTTTCTCCTGCAATGTCCCATATTGATGTCTTCGGTTATTAGCTGGAAGTCAGCTCATTTAAAATAAGAGGTTGCTGGAAGGTGCTTAATGGCTCTCCAGCCTGGACTTAGGAGCTACTGGGGTACAGGATGCTCAAGTAGATGAATGTAAGGTCTGATCCATCTTCAGCTCTTCTTAAGTTCAGAACTTCTTAAGATCTGGTAGCCTTAGATAGCCGAAAAGGAGCAAAAGCTAAAGTCACGGATGCCCATCTCACAGAAACACATAAATACACACAACAATCAATAAAAACCACAAATATATTTACTTATTGGTATATTTTATAGCCAGAGGAGGTCAGCTGTATTCATTATTGCAGCTGGTACTTTTTCTTCCTTTCATGTTATCCATTCCTACAACATGTGAATTTTAGAGTTAGCTGTGTGCTTTGTAAAATGTTAGCGATTAATCGGAACTGGAGCATTACTGATAATATAATATCTGGGGAAAGCCATCCTAACAGTCCTGGGTGCAGTTCTGCTTACCCTGAGGTAAGATTGGCAGCCAATAAATTTTCTAAATAAATAAACTGCCAACAAGCCTTTGTAAAAATGGGAAAAGGAGAGATGCAACCCAGTTGATCTAAGAGCTGGAATATATTCCTGATGAAGAAATTGATATTTGGCATTTGGAACTGAGAAGAAAAGAACATAATAGAAATATAACAAAGATACTGTATAGGGAAACTTGAGACTTCCTCAGGTAAAGCTTAGCTTCTGGTTGTCTATAGAGATTCTCAGTAATTCCGTCATAGTTGTCCCAAAGGTGCTTTTACAAAAGGCAACTGGACTTTCTTTTTTTTTCTTTTTTTCCTTGGAGACAGTTCATTTCTCATCCAAGAAGCTTCTTCAGTTCTGAACTGAAGAAGCTTCTTGGATGAGAAGCAAAACGTCTTTAAGAAAAACAAAGAATGTCCAGTTGCCTTTTGAAAAATCACCTTTAGCTTTAGCTTCTAGTGACTTTTCAAATGGCAGTCTCCATCTGAGGACTAGCTTAGTTTTTTAAAGATCAACCAAATTCAACAAAGCACAACAAAAGCTAGTATCCAGAATCACCTAAGTAATGTTGATGGTGAAGAATTTGAGACAGATAAGGAAAAATATATCAGGAAATGTAGAAGCATCTATGGAATTCCCTTCTATAAGATCTATATCAACATGATGTCCACCAAACAGGAGCATTTGCAAAGGAACTTGACAAATAGACGTGAAATAAGGCTATTTATATTGTGCTATGATATATCCATTATATTATGACTTAGTTCCTACACTATGCTAAGTATGTATGTTCAATATGCTGCAGTGTGTTGAGTAAAGACAGCTTAGTCTATGGATGATGATTCCAAAATGGTGGTTTGGCAAGGTGTGAATCTAGCTTACATAATACCTCAATATCAATAAAGGAATTTCAGATACTAGTGCAGTAGTGGCGAACCTATGACACAGGTGCCAGAGGCGGCACTCAGAGCCCTCTTTGTGGGCACGCATGTTGTCGCCCCAGGCCTAAGCCTTCAGCTGGGTTTTATAAAACCTTTTCACTATAGATTTCTGTCACCGTGTACAAAAAAAAGAAGATTCAATTAGTCAATTTCAACTTCTCGCGGGAAAAAAAAATATATTGCAAAGTTGGAATTGATTGAACTTTTTAGTCCCACCCAGTCTGCCATTACTACCGCAGCCACGCCCACCCATTGAGCCACACCCAGCCAATGGGCCACACCCAGCCGGCACTCGACGATTCATAAGTGGGTTTGGGTTGCAGTTTGGGCACTCGGTCTCTAAAAGGTTCGCCATCATTGTACTAGTGTTTGCTGACAGTGAAGCAAAGATGACAAATTTTTGTCCTGCCTATTGGCTTCTCAGGAACTTCTGATTAGCCACAGAAGAATAGTATTCTGGACTAGATAAATATTTTGGTTTATTATGTAGCAGTGCTATTCTTATTTTTTTGTCCTAATAAAATACTTTTTAAAATTTATTACATTTATATCTCACTTTCTTCTAGAAGTTTATTGACTTTGTCTTTCCTAATTTTGTCTTCTACCTATGAAAATGGCTGGGCTGAGAAAGGGTAGCTGATTCAGAGTTCATGGTGAACTTTACAGCCAGGATCTAGTCTCCCTTAAGCCAGTTGAACAATTTCACCATATAATTTGGGCTAAGTTTGATAATTTGTCTTATCCTAAGAATTTATTAAATTTCTCATTTTATTCTGACAAGAATGGTGGATAACTAACTATAGTAAACTCTAATGCACAATGTCAGATATTTTTTTTTACCATTGGTTCTTTAAAGGCCCTGATTATTTAAGCAATGCTCAGTTGAAGGAAAAAATAAAAACAAAGGAAATAATGCAGACTAAGAGGAAGATAAGCCTTAGGTATACTGTTAATAGTTTCCAAGATGGATCTTTACATAACCAATAATAGCTCCGCCATCACTAACTCAACAGCACAAAAAGTATACCATTCTGTATTTGGGGAGTTTAAGTGTTTTATTCTTAAAATCTCTGAAAAACTCCATCAAAAAAAAAGGAGGGGTGAGGAGGAAAGGAGGCTAAGGAAATTTCATTCCTCTAAAATCCTCAAAAAGCAGGGCTTAAAATTTTCATCTTGTCCAAGCTAATGATATTCCTTAGTAACTTTCCTGGAGGTTTTTTTTTGGGGGGGGGGGAAGGATCATGGTTATTTTTCAGAAGAGGGAGCTGTGACATTGAAAAATGTCTGACAGGATCATGATGAAAAGATTACATGTCTTGGGGGGGGGGAATTATTACAGCCATACAAATAAAATATTTAAAATATGATAAAATTAATCAATTAACATGATTTTTTTTTATTTTTAACCAACAAGACAAAACAAAACAAAGCAAAACATAACACACATACACACACAATATATACTCCTCCTTTCTTTTACAGCAATTGCATAATGGTAATCTATTATTTACATTTCCCCCCTTATTCTTCTTTAGAATATTTGTCCTTATAGCCCCGTTATTTCTTATTTACATTTTTCTTCCTTCATGTTTTACTTATTAAGAATAATTCATATTATTATTATTATACATTATTATACACATATTTTCACTTTTGACCTTTCCATATTTATTCTCCTCTATTATTTCTAGTCTCCAACCAGACATACATTTGTTCCATGTTATATAATACTCTGTGTCTTCCTTTAACATGAAATTTAAAAGATGAAAAAAATAGTATTTATTTTGGGGAAAAAAAGATGCACAAGCCATGCAATGGGAGATTTGATACAAAGTATTTGTAAGTCTAGATTTAAACATCATGTTAATCCATGATTTGTCAAACATCCATAAAGGTCTGTATAACGAACCAGAATGGATGGGATTGCACTGAGCCAAAACCAAATAAACAAAATTGTGGTTTACTGTGATTTGACCAATATTTATACTTCTTGTGCCATATCCGTTATTGGACGTTGGCAATCATGTTGGCGAACCTATTTTTATCAGCAGCCGCATGAAAAAGTGCTGCTGAGTTTTGTCCAAACCAGTCCCTTAGATTTTAGAGCCATGATGTTCTTCTGCCTGGACCTTGTTTGCCTTCAATCTTTCCCTGGAGGATTAAATGGAGTATGCCACATTTTTCTGGGTGTCACATCACATGTCGCATCATATTCTAACTAATATTTATATGGCAGGAAAAAATATGGGATTATCCAATGAATCCCTAAGTGTATTTCTAGCCTTCCCAACCTGGTGCCCTTCAGAAGGGTAATCTTGCTGGCTGGCAATTATGAAAGGTGAGGTCCATTCATCTAGAGTAGGGGTGTCAAATTCACAACATCACGTGATGTGTTGCAACATATCGTGACTTTTTTTCCATTGCTGGCAATGGGGTGGGCGCGATTTTGCCATGACGCATCTGACCCACGGGCCAACAGTTTGACACCCCTGATCTAGAGGAAATGAAGTGAGGAAAGGATCTTCTGGTTGAGTTATAAGGGGATTTGCTCTGCTTTGAACCCAAAGTGATTGATGATTATGTATGTCAAATTGGAGTTGACTCTTAGTGACCACATAGTTTTTTGTCTAGGAGGTCCCGTCCCTAATCTGGTCTTCCACAGTGCACCCATCATCATTGTAACTGAATCCATCTATTTTGCTGTTAGTTGTCTTCTATTTATCTTTCCTTCCACTTATGGCCTGTTATGTATTATAATTACAGTTAAATCATCCCTTAGAACAAAGTATAAATCAGGCCAAATATGTAAATCAGGCCTTAATCTTGGATCACACCTGCGTTATAAAAGATTATCTGTTTGCCCAAGCTTTCAGGTAATGGGGACAGAGGAAGTATGGGCCACACAACTTGGTTTTCCTCCTAATATTGTTGGAAGCCACATCC